AACGAAACAACTGTTACAACAAGTGTTCAAAGTAACGACCCCCAACAGTAATACAAGCTTCTGCTCTCCTCATCAAAGAATTCCGCACCCGTTGAAAAATGCCCGGAGTGTTTCTTATCGTTTCGCAGCAAGCTATGATGCGATCCCTTAACATTTCCTCGTTTCCAATGAGGCTAGCATAAACTAGTGATTTTAGGTGTCCCCAAAAGAAAAAATCGGCGGGATTGAGGTCCGGTGACCTCGGGGCCAAATTTCGTGCAAATAACTTGTTTTTTACAAGAGTTATTTTCAAAAAGCGAACAAAAAAATTCAATTTCAACACTCCGTATCTCCGAAACGAAGCATTTTCGGATACACATTCATAAGGACTTTTTTTCTTAAAATTGTCTTAGGAATGCGTCACTTGAATATGTACTTATGTTACACCCTGTATAACGGAACTATACTTCCTTGTCTTTAGACTTTGCCATATTCATGGCATACATTCCATCATTAGTATTTATAACAAATGAAGTCACTTTCGATATGTTACTTCTTGAAGAATGAAAGAGATATTTGATGAAGGTCATTGTGTTTTACTGCCGTAAAATTCAATTATTCTTTGGAAATGTTCTGTTCATCACCAATTGTGGAAATTTTGACGTCGTCATCATGAACTTGTCCAGAGGCTCAAATATATATTTCTTAACATTTTCACATGCCACCCAGCTTTGCGAAACGAAATCTAAATATGTTTTTATGCATGTCCAATTACTATTATATCAATTCAGCTAGGGAAAACAATGCAATCGTCCTCACAAGTAATGAAAGACATAAAATACAATAGAAAAATCGGTATTCTTCTTACGGTTATTATCTGTTTAATTATAATGATCTTTCATGATGTAATTTGTTGGAATCTGGAAAAGTGAAATTTATTGAGGGGATCTTTCGATTAGTACAAAGGCAAACTAATGCAACTTTACAATATAATTAGCGAACCGCCGCGGGTCCGCATGGGTGCAATGCTGAAACTAAATATACGTATAAACGCATGCGATCGCTGCTAATAAATAAGTGCTATAGGGCGAAGCGCGGCCTTTGAACCGCTATTTACAGGCACGCGCCGCTGGCCCCCAGTCCGTTACCGCCGCAACCGCCATGTCTCTGCATTTCAGATCTGTAATATCTTCCAAAATATTCATTTAAATTACATGTTGTATTGGGCCATATTCATCTATATTAAATGCACACTATATTTAAGGTACTTATTTGGATAAGGATTATTGCCGTATTGCTCAAACTCGCTTCGTAAATATATATAAGTCGTTATTTCTCGAGGATAGAATATGGTTATTGTGGGTTATCCTCAAGAGGTAGATATATGCCATAGCTGACGTTTTTGTAGACCTTTTCAAGGTGTACCTACAATATACAGTACGTTATTCCGATCCCTCTCGTAGGGTTCAGCCAGCTTTTGCAATATAACCGCCAAAATGTGTTTATTTACATCATATTAGAAATATATGAAGTCATCAGTGTTCTCTATTATATTATGCATGTTATATACAAATAAACCTTCGTATCTATTAAAAACCGGCATTAAATCCCGTTGCACAGCTATAAAGATATAAGCATAGATACATAGAAAGAGACAACGGGAAACGAATTTTATACTATGTAGTGATTAACTCCTAATCTCATTGAAGCAGTGTTGAAGAAGGTGGTTTTCTTCGATCAATGAAGTTATGAATTATCAGAATTTAAAAGTTTCATTTATTCATTTACATAATTTGGAATATATATTTGTGAAAATCAAGAGATTGTACCCACTATATACAGTGCGAGTCTCTAACATGGAACAAGTTCACTAAATCAAAGGTGTTGTTTCTTTCGGAAATATGCTCGGACACCTCGATTAGTATTTTGAAGTGCCCTTATTTTCGTACAAAAAAAATTATACAGTGTCTCTCAAATTTCAATTTTTTACTCCCTGTCCTTTAAAAGATATTTAACAAACATATAATTCAAAAAATGAATTCAATTCGATAGTCTTCCTTCAATAAATGCTTAGAATATCAGGGATACCTGACAGTGACATTGTCATAAAAAAGTTATCAAAAAAAAAGTAAGGAGAGTAGTATCGCATTCCAATCATATTTGTGCACGAAAACTGTTTCACAGTTTATTGTTCGCCATTAGTAAAATGCCGTACTTAACTGAAACACAAAAGATTGAAATTATGATGATGATTGGCTACGGAGATAGGACAAGAACACAAACTGAAGTTACTCAGTTCCGGGAAAATGGACATTTAAGAAAAACAAATAATCATCGTGGGAGTGCGCTCAGTGAAGAGGTCAAAATAAATGTTCTTCTCTCTGTCGAAGAAAATCCCATAAGTGGAACCACCTATATATGTTTCGCTTGCGTTTACGCAGCTATTTTTATCAAGTACTTTCTTGGTTTTTCCCATTTTGTCTTCAATCGAGGACCGCCTGCCCGGTACTGACGATGCCCAATAGGCTGAAACAGCTGTCTACCGGTGGCTCTTAAATTGAAATTAATATGGGAATGATCAAAAAGTACTTATCTATTCTTTTTTGATTTTCATGGAATTATTTTGGAATTATTTTCCAGCAGCTTGACTGCATTAACCTTTCTAGATTTCGTATCATTTCTAGAAACATGTGGATTCGTTTTTCGATGGCATTTCCGGTTAGCTTTCCAAATTTCTGCTACCGCAGTTGTCGGTTGATTGGTTTCGAAAAAAAGATAGGATCTTTCAAATAAAGAAATTTCATTGGAGCATCCCTTGTTAAGATACAGCTCCTTAAAGGGGTACATAAAATTTGTATAACAATTTTTTTCACAAGCACCAAAAAAGTTACAGTACTGAAATTAACCTGACGTTTTCTACTACCAAAAAGACACTTAGTCAGTTATTCATTTGGTTTACCCCATGGTTGAAAGGGGTGGAAAACATAACCCCTAAAATTTATATCCAATGTAACTTTTCGTCTTATTATTTGTTCACCATTTAAAGATTCATTTCCGATAACCTGTTTCATTCTGAACAAAAAATGTCTCTTGAGTTTTTTACCCAAAATAAACCAGCTCGCAGCAAAAAATTATTTTACGAACAACTACAGAGATACATCGTCATAAATGCGAACTGGATTTACTGTTATTTTGTAGTTAGTACCTGCATTAAACGATTAAAAGGTAATTAACCCTTTGCTGCGAGCTGGTTTATTTTGGGCAAAAAACCCAAGAGACATTTTTTGTTTAGAATGAAACAGGCTATCGGAAATAAATAATTTTCAAATTGTAAACAAATAATAAGACAAAAAGTTACATTGGAAATAAATTTTAGGGGTTGCGTTTTCCACCCCTTACAAGCATGGGGTAAACCAAATAAATTACTGGCTAAGTGTCTTTGGTAGTACAAAACGTTAGGTAAATTTCAATATTGTAACTTTTTCAGTGCTTGTGAAAAAAATTGTGAATACAAATTTTATGTACTTACCCTTTTTAAGGGGCTGTACCTTAACAAGGGATGCTTCAATGAAGTTTCTTTATATGAAAGATCCTATGTTTTTGCCGATGAGGAATCACCTCCTTAAATGTTTTACACTTATTCAGTTATACCCTGTATATTAGCTGCATCAATTATGGCTTTAGTCAGTTGGCCAACAGCTTCATTTATATCATGCGAAAATTCGATATTTTCTGTATTTGCCTCGAGTGTTTAACTGTAAAGATCCCAGTTTGCTTTTGCAATTTTCCACTTTTCTTCAAATATGGCTTGTTTTGATTCATTGCCTGGTATTAGAATAGGAAAGTGATTACTATCATTGAGGCTGTCAAGCTTGTGCCATTTTAGTAAGGGTGCTGTTTCTGGATCTGAAATGCTGAGGTCTTGAGGAGAAGGATTCGGATTGTATATGGAATTATGTGCTGCTGCCAGTGTTGAGTAGATTAATATTGCAATTTTCAATCAAGTTTTCAATCATTTTGCCTCGACCAAACGTATTTTCTGAACCTCATATTGTATTGTGAGCATTGAAGTCACCTACAAAGATGAACGGTGAGGGAAGTTGGTTTATCAGGTTGGTTATCTCTGTGTCTCTCACATTGTAGTGTGGAGGGATATAAACACTGAAAATTACAATTTCATTGGGGCACCACGCTGTGATGTCAACTGCTTCTAGACTTGGGTTCAAGTGTAGTTAGTTTTTGATGGAAAATATCTGTAGAGACAAAAACTGAGGATCCGCTACCGGCTTGTAGATGAGTAGTTCTAATGGAGTGATGGCCAGCATAATTTTTCAAGTGAGGCTTATGAGATTTGATGAAATTAGTTTCTTGTAAGCACAGGAAGTCAGGTGAGAATTCTGAGTTGAGAAGTCTGAGGTGAGCTGTTTTAATCGTTCCAGTCGGGGGTAGAAACCGTCGCAGTTCCATTGTATTGAGGAATTGTCCTCAAGTATTTTTTATACTGAGTAACAAAGTGCTTTTGAACGTTTTTTGTCATGAGTCTTTGTAAAAAATAATGAACACCTCATATATTTATCCATCTTCACTATTAGATGCTTGAAACAAAAAGTGAACCCCATGAAGGATGGAAGTAGTAGGAAGATGTAAATTAATTCAACACCTTCAAACTTTTGGGTTGCCGTAGGATATCAGTCATGAGGAACGACCATAAATGGTACATCGGAAATGTAAAAAATATATAGTAGGTTGCGATAATGTTTTGGTAGTTCGCCTGGAATTTGAAGGTAGTTACAGGCATTCCTTCTATTGTGAAATTTGAGCAGCAACAATCATTTTTGAGTGGATATACTTGTAATCTATTTGCTAACTCTGATTTCCCCCACAAAAATTTCAGTTTCGTTCAATATTATATTTTTAGTTGATATAAATTTTTAGGAAAGAAAAGTTTTGGCAATTGGCAACTTCCGAAATAAAAATGTAGTGCATGAGTAAAGTACATAAAAATGGCGACTATTGTTTTTCTATTTTTCAATGGCTAAAAACATTTCTTTAAGAGAACTAATTTTTTTGCTCTGCCTGCGATTTTTTTGCCAAAACCGTTTAAGATTTCTTCGCTGTCTGTCTAAAACACTATCCAGTCTTAAAATTTCCAATTTCAGTTTTTTCGTTTCTGGCGAATCACTATCAGACAATCTTCTCATGTCATCATGAGTCGTTACTATTGTTGAGCTTGCCTCATTTGGAGTAGATATGAACGATTGGGCACTACTAGATGAACCATTGGATTGGCTGCATTGTGGTTCTTCTTCTGGCTCTTCCTTTATATGCGGCACAACCATGGACTCATCTTGTGTTAATGCCAAAGTTGAAGGAGCACTCTATAATTGAAAATAATTACTGACACGTTTGAAGGAGCACTCTATAATTGAAAATAATTACTGACACGTTTTTTTTATTTCAAATAATTCGGCCATATTCGAAAAATTAATCTTACATCGTCTTTAAGAAGTAATTTGGTTGGTATCGAGCCTTCAATCACCTTATGCTGACCTTTTGGAGTAGTATATAGACAGGACTCTTCAAAATGAACAGAGCAGATGACAGCATCTTTAGGAGGAACCCAATCAACTCTTCTTGTGGCTTCAACCCACATATTCCTCAACTTAATTTTTTTTGGAAACCTTAAAAAAGCAAAAATTCAAAACTTGAGTTCTTTGTTGTTGCATTTTGAATATTGGAAACATATATCAAATACATACAAATACTTTATACAAAATTTATTTGTAACTAACGTTATAAGGACATTTTCAAACTTATACATTATGTATAAGTGTGAAAATGTCCTTATAGGACGAAACTGCAGTCCTTAGTTACAAATAAAAGTGGTAAAAAACATAGAAAGTTTCAATTCTCTTTTCTTCATTAAAGAGGTTTTGGTCTATTGATTTCGATAAAACACGTTTCTCAATATTATACAGAATGTGCATAAATCATTGTCACCTTTTTATAACGATAACTTTGTTATTTCAAATAGATCACCCTGTATTTTTTTGGTCTGAACCATAAAAAATTCAATTATCATTCATTTCCGGGTTTCCTATACCTAACCTAAATAGTTTTTCAGATATTGGCTTTTTCAAAAAGTAGTTCTCATTTTCATGCATTCTTTGAATGAAGACAATTTTGAAACGACATTTATTTAATTAGCTCACATAATTCTCATTGACAGTTGTTATACTTCACTTCATCGAAAATATTTACTGTTCATTAAAATGAAGCCACCATTTACATTTATATTCTGACAGTAGTTCATTAAACAGACTATACATTTAAAATTAAAAAGTAAATTGAATCCCGTCATGAGTACTATCGTCTACCTGGTATCACGCATAACCATTTATTAATCTAAATTCAGTGCTGATTGCACGAGTGTTACAGTCCCGCGGAAATCCATCGTAGTGCACAAGACACTCGATGATAGAAAATATTTTTTCTGGACTTTAATATTCCGCGATATGGCGTTGAGAATATGCAAGAGTTTTTTCAAGCCTATTGTATTTAGTGGGTTATTGGGGCGATGGAAAAATATTGTAGAGTTAGCACTTCAGGTGCAAAGACACTCGGTGCAAAGTTGTGGTATTGATTAACATCATTGAACTGTTTTTGAAAGATGAAAATGTATTGACGAGTTAATATTATATAAAAAATAACAACAGTTACCCAGCAAAATATACAAATATTACTGGAGTTTTTTCCCAACACCAAATCGTTATTTTTAACACCTCGACACGTGTCGACTTTGTCTTTTGGACTTTCCAAAAGGCTCTGTAGTGTATAGCCTTTTGGGAAGTCCAAAAGACTAAGTCGAGAATTGGGAAAAGTCTGGAATTTACGAAATTAAATGTAAGGACTGCGATGCAAAATATTATGGACAGACAAAAAGATCTATTAAAGTAAGATATAAGGAACACATAGCACACTTAAAATATGGAAGACCTGAAAAATCAGCAGTCGCCCATCATATTTTGCAACAAAACCATTCCATAGACTTTAGTTCATTAAGATTAGTTAGACAAGTTAACAACAACAGGCAACTAGATGCCTATGAGAGTGTGGAAATAAGTAAACACAATAATATTATGAATAACGATGACAATCTATACCAAAGAGCATACTATATAGATTGTTAAAATAAAATAAAATAATGTTGTTGGGGTTACTGATTACTACATAAGGACACATTGCAAAAATAAATTTGGATAGGCAATTTTGTGAAATTAATTTTTATATAGCTGAAAATTGTTTTATATAAACATATATTGTAAAATAATAGATAAGGCAAAATTGTAAAATTAATTTAAGTTGGTATACCTGTATGGTTGGTACGCCTGGATGGTTTACCTGTATGGGTTACCTTTATAGCATAAATAGGATTAGCTCGCAGTAATATTCATTACTACACCAAAGGTTCCAAACAGTGCATCATAAGTAAAATATAGAAAAGTGTGGCATCAACTCTGCTCCATCCCTTCAAATTATCAATAAAAACTGTAAAGGTAATAAAACAAACAGCCGGACTGATTTGTTATTGAATTACGTGAGTCTAATCAATAAATTGAAAATTTCAACTGGGCAGCTCCTTTAGTGCTGATCGATGTGGTTTTATTGTAAATGAGTCTGACTGTCTGCTTCATCAACTTGATGGTTCTAATTATTGTCTTCAAATCTTATTCTTTGTGAAATCACGGAATCACTTTGACTCACTTTGAGCGAGATACTCGCCAGGTATCTCGGTACCGGAATTGCTGACTTCAGTATTTTTCCATGTCCTATTTTTGTTCACGAGTGGAGCTATCAACAGTTAATATATCTTTCTCTTAGATGATGCATGGTTTCATACATGTAGGGATTTTGCTGCTAGATGAAAAAGAAACATCTACAAGATTAACTTCTGTGAGATATCTTGCAAAAATATCTGTCGGATATAATTCAATGTCTATCGTCATATTAGCCAGGGAAGTGTTCGTTTTCTGGCGGGGATGAAAGTTTAGAGATTCTGTTTTGAAATTATCATTTTTCCATTCATTCGTATTCAAAAATATGACGTAATATGAAAAAATCAGTCCTCAGAAAAGTCCTGCACATTTTCGTCACCAGTTTCCGACCATTGTGGCTGATTGTTTTCACTGCTTGGGCTGTGTCATCACTATCACTACATCACTACGTATAAAACAAAGTCGATTTTCGCTGTATGTCCCTATGTATGCTCAGATCTTTAAAACTACGCAACGGATTTTGATGTGGATTGTTTCAATTGATAGAGTGATTCATGAGGGAGTTTTATATGTATATAACATCCATAATGGCAGAGAAACACTAATGATTTCAGAAATTTCTGAGATAATGTCATGAATAGAGCCATTTTTTGCGCTTATATTGCAAACGCTGGCTGAATCCTACGAGTTAAATCAAAAAATGTACTTTATTGTACACTTTATAAAGTTCTGCAAAAAAGTCCGTGATGCTATATGTCTACCTCTTAGGGATAACCCACAATAACCATTTTTCATCCTCGAGAAATACTTAACTTATTTACGAAGCGATTTTAAGCAATGCAGCAATAATCCTCATCCAATTGAGTACCTTAAATACGTTGTGCATTCAATTCAGATCAATTACAGGATGTTATTTTCGAGCTTATTTTCTTTACCGGAGCGAACGTTTGAATAAAAATATCAATTTTAATTTCTATCGGTAGCCAAACTCTATAACCTTTTGACTGTTCAGAATATCCTTGAAATATCCCCTTTTTGCAGCGAAAATCGAACTTTTCTTCATTCGTTGTTTTATTCAGGCAAAATACTTCACACCAAAATTCCCTGAAAAAACTAACATTCGATTTACTTCATGTCCAAGCTTCGTATGGAGTCATCCCATTCAAACTCTTAGTTGGACAACGGTTTCTAATGAAATCCGCTGTATTGACAGCCTCAGCCCAAAAACATGGTGGAAGACCAGATTGCATCAAAAGACACCTTGCGGTACTTACAACAGTGTGGTTTTTCCTTTCAGCAATAATATTTTGTTCTGGGTTTTATGGAACTGTTAAACGCCTCGATATCCCATTTTCCTTCAGGAATTCATCGAAGTTTTTACTATTCTGCCTCATTATTGGAATAAAAACATTCTGTTCTCTTTCTCTTCTGATTTTCTATCAGGGTAATATACTCATTTGTTTTCTCGAGTGATTTGGACGTTGTCCTCATAAAACGCACCTCGTACCAGCGGGAAGAGTCATCTATAAATTCAACGAAGTATTTTGCATAGGGCCACATATATCAGAGTGTACTATATCTAAAATTTCGGACTCTCTTGGATTTCCTTGGAAAAGGCATTCTTATCATTTAACCTCGTTAATAGATGTTACATTCCAGGTCGCTGTCAACATTGTTTATATTCAGATCAATTAGAGCCTGTTCACGTCCAGCTTGGAGAAGATCTTTCGTATTCAAATGTCCAAGGCGCCTGTGCCATAATTGGAATTTTTGATGTGATTGGAGGTTTGTCCATATTCGCGTACGTAATACAAATTCCCAAGACGATCAGCAATTAACTCAATATCTCCATTAGGAGCCGTAACTCGAGCAATAAAATTTCAAAACCATTATTACTTATTTTTCTCACAGATAAAGATTAGTTCGCAAATCAGAAACGTACAATGTTTCATTCAGATGAATGTTCTTTCTTTCACCAAAAACATCGACAGTAATAGAAACGGTATCTTCAGCAATGATTTCTGTAGACACATCATTCGCTAAATTCAATCTACCGCGTTCAGGTTCAGAAATTTCTGTGAATTTATTCAGTTCATTGCATAAATGTGATGTAGCACCGTTCGTTGTCTAAACACCAACTCTGTTTATTCTTTAAATAACCCCTTTGAAAAAGTTCTGATGAAGCAAATGTCTTTGGTACAATTAGCTAACGAACAAGCGGGTTTGCTGCTCTTTCAGTCCGCGGCTTCATGTCCGATTTCTTTGCACTTATAACCGCGAAACTTAAACACATCTTTCCACTTAGAACTTAATTCACCATTGCAGCCCAACTTTTCATACTTTTTGTTCTTCTGTGAGTTCACAAATAATTTACGTTTATTAACAAACATTGCATTGTATACTCTAACACTAGTTTCATTATTTCGCGCCTCATATTCTTTAAATATTTTCACTCGAAGAATTTCGAGGGAAGGTCATTCGTCGCGAGACTCAATGGCGCATCTAAAGTTTTCGATGCTTGAAAGTAGACTATACAGTAACATTATCGCCAGAAGATCCGGATTAATTTCGACTTTCATTTGACACAGCTTGTCAACAGAATCGAAGAATTTATTGAGGTGTTCACGCACGTCACTTCCATCGGCCATGCGTTGAAGTGTCAGTTGTTTAAGACATTTCGCCTTCCTGGCAGGACCTTTGGTCTGATAAATACCTTCTAGTTTCAACCGCATTCCTCTGGAACTTGTACAATCATTCACTTCTTTTATAACCCCCCAAATTTTGAAAAGGCAAATGGATTATTTCAAAATTTGAGATGCCAACACCTTTTGCTGATAGGCTGCTCAGTTTGATACGGGAGGGTGTGAGTAAGTTCAACACAGGTCTGATTAATAGCTGTTACTGAT